TCCGACACAAATCATTACTTCCATGGAGCTGACCTTGAGCTTGTTGCTCCTGAACTGGTTGTTCCATATCTACCACGTGATCTCCTTGTTCTGCCATCTCAGTCTGATCAATGTGTCTACCACGTCTGTCTCTTCTCCTCCTTGGTACCAGAAGGTTGATGTTGTCGTTTAGAGGAAAAGGAGGACCGCAGCTTCTTGATCTAGACCTGGTGTTCATATACCTGAAATCACAAACAGAACTTGAAAGGAATCAGTAAAAACAAGAAAGTAAGCACTTGATCTCAAGAACAGATCAGAGCTTAATGCTAATCAAACCACAATTCGGCAACGGCGCCAATTGATAGATAGGACTTTTAAGGGTCTCAGGGCTATCAATCCCCTTGTCAATGTAGCACAAAGAGGTTTATCAATCCAGATGTGGTGTTAGACACTAAGCTATATGATCAAGTTCTTAATTCAAGCAAACAAGAATAGGTTTTGATTAATCTAGAGACAACTATAAACATAAACAGGTTTAAAGACAAATGACAATGACAAATGATGTGAATATGATATGATGGAGGCATGAGATTCTAGACATGATAGTTGGTTAGGGTGCCTTGGTGTTAAACTAGAAATGCTAATGACAATGATGAGACATGATTCAAATGATTAAGAACTCTAATCTAGGTTAATCCTCTCATGAAGGTATTAACCCCTATACTAATCCATTTTCAAACCAAATTCCCATTTGTGAAACATGAATCAATATGCATTAACAAACAGCTCTTAATGATCATTCAAGCATTTAACAAATCATTCCCATGATGAAAAATTACTTAAACCTCTAACACAACTCTTTCAGGAATTTCATCAAACACTTTTGGTGCATGAAATTCCCAGAATCTAGATCTCAAGTGATTATCAAGGATTTAGCATAGAGAACAGCTGTTTAGAGAGATGAATCAATGAATCTAGCCCTAAGCACTCCTAATCTAACACTTTAGCACCCTAACCTACACATCTAGAACCTCATTAAGGTGACTACTCACTAATCATACTAATCTCTCTTAAACCTTTGCAAGTTGAGTAGATTAGCATGATTAATGATGAGAAATGGAGATGGAGATGATAGATTCAAAAGAAAACAGCTTTAAACACCCAGATCCCTTTAAACTCTCTTGATTAAACACTCAAATAAAGATATTTCTCTTCTTAATGGAGTCTTTTCACCAAAGAGGCAAGAGACAAAGGGAATAAAACTTAGTTCTCCCCCAAAAAACCCTAAAAAGTATTTATACCTTCTTAAAAACGAACCGGGTCAGCCCGGAACAAACCGGGTCCTGACCCGGCTTTAATGGATAAAGTGGGAAAAGCTGCGGGTCGGTTCAGTATGTCCCAGGCCGCACACCTAAGTCGCAGTAGATGAAGACTTGTCTTGTGAGGCTTGAATCGCCTTGTCGGAGCCGCACGCCTATCTAGGAGTAAATTGCGAGTGTTTCTGCGGCATGGTCTCCTTCCTCTCCAACTCGCAGGGCTGAGCCGGTTTCTGGGGGATGTAGAAACTGTGCGGGTTGGTCTCTATTGCACTTAGGTCGCAGGCTCAAGTCGGAGTGAATTCCGAGTGATCGTGCGGCATAGATCCAGGCACGGATGACTCGCATGCCTAAGTCGCACGATTGTGGACTTAGCATTTCTCTTGCTCGGGAGCTCCAGACCTCTTCCAGTGATAGTTTACCCGCACATTTCAACTCGCAGCATCAGCATTCAGGCGTTCATCTTCAGGCCTGCGGGTTAACCAAGTCGCAAGACCATCTCGCAGCATCCAGAGCAGCTTAGATCACTTCGCATTCCGGAGAGTGTAACTCCTGTGATACTTGTCCGAATTGAATGATTTCGGTTGCAGAAGACAGAGGACTCATTTATCTCCAACTTTTGTGAAGGAAGTTTCAGTGCTTGGGAGGTGGAAGGCTTCCTGGAGGGCACATCTTTGCAGTGCATGTATACGACCAGAGAGAGGCGTCTAGACATGTGTCCATTCCGGAGGCCGTATCTTCCTGCTCATAGATCCGAATTGAATGCTCTTGGACGTTCTGGAAAGAAGACTCAAATGTCTCTGATTCTCATGAAGGACCCGGAAGCTGAATCGGCCTGGAAGTGCACCGTCCTTCGCATCCTTCAGAACTGATCTGCTCGGTCCGGAATACCTGCGAGACAGGGGTTTCTTCCGACGAGCTTATCTCTCTGCTCACGCGTCCGAATTCTACGATTCCAATTGCTATGAGACCGTGCTTCAATGCTCTCCAACTTCTATGAAGGACCCGCCTTCTGAATCGGACCGGAAGGCTCCCCGGACAGGTGATTTCTGAGACTCGTTCGCACCCGGAGATTTTGGCCGATATACTTAATTCGCGGTACGTGAAAATGGCCGGTAAAGCTTCCCGCGGTACATGAAAATGGCCGGTAAAACCTTCCTGGCCAGCGAGAATGGCCGATAACCTCCATAGACTCAAGTTTTCCACTTTTTCAAGCTCTGCTCACCATTCCACCTCCTGGATTCATCTTTTCAGCTCCATAATCACCTGATAGACACTCAAAACATGCAAAGACTCATTGGGACCTAATGCATCTCCTAAGTTCTAAAACAAACCCTAAGGACCTAAAATACATGAAATAAAACATGATTTGGAATGATTTATGCAACCTAAATGATGCAAATTATGAACATATCAAATGGTAACACAATGGATCTGAATGCTCGGCCCTCCCTATCATACAGGAGGTAACTACGATTACCTGTCATGTGACGTGAGCAGCCGCTGTCAAAGTACAACAGATCTGCAATATCCTTATCAGAACCTCCAGAACGAGAGGGATCCCGACCGTCGTCGGGAACTAACCTTGGGCATAGATCGGGAGGTGCGCGAGCTGGAGCACAAAAAGACGCTCTGTCAAACCAAGGATGCAGTTCGGGATGATCAACTGGACGTATGGAGGGAGGGGTTTTATGAGGAATTAGAAACGGAAAGGGAGAAAGAGGCCCGCCTTACGTTGCTTAATTCGCGGCTCCGTGTACTCATCCGGACACGGGAGCACCAACCCCAAAAAAATTAAAGCTTTCGTTCTCTTCTTTTTTTTTACTTGATTGGCAGGTGTACAACAACCTTAACCGCGCAAGCCTGGGCTGGGCCTACCTCCATCCTTAGAGGAGCCGTATGAGGCGGAAGCCCCACGTACGGTTTTGAAGCCGAGCCTTTCCAGCAATGGGGCTTAGGGACCGATATGATGATTGGTTTAGGTAGGGCGGCCGGCCTACTACGGGCACCCGCCTGTAGGGATTAGTGCGTGAGACCGCGATCCACAAACTGACGCATGGGACTCACCCTTTACTTGAGAATAAAGAGGGGAAAGATAGCATGTCCCAAGAGCGAGGCGAGTTTTGGAACCCTACAGCGAGAGGGACGCCTCGCGAGCCGGGCTTCCAGAGATGAGGCCTTTTGGCGAAGCCAAGTTTCTTTCGGGCCACCAAACCCTGCAACTGATGAGAAAGAAGGCCCTATGGGGTAAAGGGAAGCGTGTACGTTGTCACACTCCCTGCCTTCCAAAGGTGCCTATAGGACGGGCCAGACGCAGCAGAGCGACAACCCGGGAGCAGATTCCCCACCGGCAGGGGGACAGGAGACGGCCATCTCAAGGCACATCACGACCTACAGGTAAGACCGGCGAGACCAGGGAAGGCAACGCAACCCGATTGGGAGTCAGAGGATCCATAGTACCTGCAGCCCCACGGACTTCATATTCCTCATTTTAGAAAGCGGAGGGAAGGGATCTCTTTTCTGCAACGGAAAAAAACGGAGCAGATTTGACTCGGCACAACCTAACGATACATCCAATACCAATGATCTGTGCCTAGAATGCGTTGCTAGATCTCTGTTCTAAAAAGCTATACAGGCAACAAGAAAGTTGACCGGGGGCGGGTCTTCCCTTTCATTACTTATATTTCACGACGAGGGAACCGCGCCCGCATCAGTCGAAGTGGTGCCCTCCTCTAAAAAAGAAGGTTTCAGTCTCATTCAACCAACTCTCTTTTTGAAGCAGATAGTTCACGAGATAATTGAGTAAGTTAAGATAGATGTCACAATTTGAACCAAAGGCCTTTTGAGTGATTAGTCTGCTAGTTTCTTTGATCTTAGTCGGTGTTAATTATTCCTTTTTTCTCAAGTCAACCCGGAAGGAGAAAAGACCCTAATTTTTCTCTTATCCATCGTCTTCTTGGTAGAAAGTTTTTTTTTCTTTGTTGTTAGTCACCAACTTATTTACCCAGAAATAGATAAGGGGATTTAGTAAATCCACTTCAGGTGCTGGCCCAGCTGTCGTGTCTATTGGTTCTCTTTAGCGGCTCAAGAGCCACTGACGCAGGCGCCAGCACCGGCTGAAGTTGCCCATCCCGTTCCTAACCAATCTCCTCTTGGGTGGGAACGGGGGAAATCGCTAGATCCCTCATGGGATCAAAAACAACCTATCACCGAAGTCCCACCTATTCAAAAAAATGGTGCCTGAACCGACGGGAAGCTCTTCTTCGCAGGGTCAGGGCTGCCGCGCCTTGCCGCAGCAGTGGGGCCTACGGTCGGACAGGTGGGACGTGTCTGTTGTGAGGCTTGCGGGGAAGCTTGCCTGGATATCGCCCGTGCCTGTTGTCAGGAATGCGCGCGTGTCTCCCTAACCTAAATATCAAGGACTTCAAGTGTTCGGTCGAGCTTGTCATCTAATAACATTTGAATTTCTCTTAGATTCCACGTTCCCGAAATGGATCCTATAAAATATTTCACATTTTCTATGATTATTTCTATTTTAGGTATTCGGGGAATCCTCCTTAATAGACGAAATATTCCTATTATGTCAATGCCAATTGAATCAATGTTATTAGCTGTGAATTCGAACTTTTTGGTATTTTCCGTTTCTTCGGATGATATGATGGGTCAAGTATTTGCTTCATTGGTTCCAACGGTGGCAGCTGCGGAATCCGCTATTGGGTTAGCCATTTTCGTTATAACTTTCCGAGTCCGAGGGACTATTGTTGTAGAATTTATTAATAGCATTCAAGGTTAACCATTCCTCTCCTTTCAGTCGAGACTTCTCCTGGTGGACCTTACAGTCGAGTCACTGAATACCTCGACTCATCTTAGGAAAATACGAAGTGATCTTCTCCTTTCGTTCTCTTCTCTCTTTTTTTCTTGGTCGGCAGGGTCAGGGCCTTTCTCTAAGGGCGAGCGCATCCGCCTTTCCTAAGCCACTTCCCATTCAGTTGCTGAAAAAGAAATGGGGATAAGCTTTCTAAATGAGATTGAGTTCGACGAATATGGATGCTAGAAAGATTTTATTTGCTGCTATTCTATCTATTTGTGCATTAAGTTCGAAGAAGATCTCAATCTATAATGAAGAAATGATAGTAGCTCTTTGTTTTATAGGCTTTATCATATTCAGTCGTAAGAGTTTAGGTACGACTTTCAAAGTGACTCTCGACGGGAGAATCCAAGCTATTCAGGAAGAATCGCAGCAATTCCCCAATCCTAACGAAGTAGTTCCTCCGGAATCCAATGAACAACAACGATTACTTAGGATCAGCTTGCGAATTTGTGGCACCGTAGTAGAATCATTACCAATGGCACGCTGTGCGCCTAAGTGCGAAAAGACAGTGCAAGCTTTGTTATGCCGAAACCTAAATGTTAAGTCAGCAACACTTACAAATGCCACTTCTTCCCGTCGCATCCGTTTTCAGGACGATCTAGTCACAAAGTTTTACACCTTAGTGGGTAATCAATTTGCCTACTCTTGTATCTCGAAAGCAGAAAGAGTAGAATTCATTCGAGAGAGCTTGGTGGTCTTAAGAATGGTTCGGGGGGGGGGTTTCTCTTAAGAATAAAGAAGAGGAATTGAATCTAATTGATGTTCATGCTCTCAGAAGAGCGGATCCAATACCAAGACTACTTCTTTCTCAGGAAGTGCAGCAAGTACTTGAGGAATTTTGGGATATTTTGCCCCACGAATTAGTTGCCAAGTGCGCCCTAGTAGGGCAGTCCACCACAAGATCGAGTTGGAGCCTGGAGCCAAACCCCCAACTATTTAGACTGGGGCTGGGTTAAGCGGATGGCCCCCCAACTAGCATCTATTAGTTAAGGGGATTGGTTGAACTCAGGAATCAATTTCAGGAACTCATGGAGGCCTATTTTGATTGCTGCTGGGAAAAGGTTGGGGAGCCCCTTTCCAGAAAAAGCGGGAGCCTGGTGCATTGATTATCAGGCGCTCAACAAGGTAACCTAACTATAAAAAAAGAGTATCCACTTTTATTGCAGACTTCTTCGCCCGCGCGAGATACTTCTCGAAGTTGGATCTACGGTGGGATACTACCAGGTGCGTATCGCGGAAGGAGACGAGCCAAAGACGACCTGTGTGACAAGCAAGCAACCTTACTAATAAAGGGGCCCTTTCTTGCTCGTTAGCGCCCCCCTACCCCTATTATATTAGTTAGCCCTCCTTCCTTTACTCTTGGTACCTAGACACTTTGAATCAAGGCTACGCCCCAGGTCCCTTAGTTCAAGCTCCATCCCACATCCATTTGCCCAAACGACGAATAAGCTGCGAAAGAATGAGCTCCTGTCGCAATTGAAGAAGAATATGCTGCTAGTCTTTTAGCCACAGACGCTCTTGAGTCAATCTCAGCTGTGGTCCTATCAGCTCAACCAGTTGCCGGTCTTGTTTGCGTAGTAAATGGTTTTGGCGGAATACGGTGTTTGAGAGTAAGCTGCTATTCCAAAATCTGGTCTGTCTGTAAGCAATTACCTTTCCTGGCTTGCTTTAGTCGGTGACTCTATGCCCTCTGCTTCGACTTCAAATGTGATCTATACGCTCTTCGATATTTTTAAGGAGATCTTTTGGTCGTATCGTAGAAAAAGAAAGATCAAGGCGGAATGAGATGTCCCTGTCCTGTAACTATCAATCACTTGAATAATCGAAGAGAGATGGGATCCTAGGGTAGATGAAAGAGATGCCCGTTTCATGATCTAGGTGCCGTTGATTGATTCTACTTCTTTTCCTTCTTTCTCGAGATGTTGTTGGTCTTCAATCTACTGATCATAGGTAGAAGAGAGAGAAAATTCATCTTATATAAGGATAAGTTCGTTCTTTTGCACTTCTTCATGTCTTGGTTCACTGTCCATCTGAAGATAGGAAGTGAGGGGCGCACGAAAGGAGGTAGCTTCTTTTTCGGTCTTGTTTTTCAACAAGCGGAATAACCCAATTTGTATCTCGGCAATGAATCCCCTATTGAATTGAGATCTTTAGTACAGAAAGAATTTTCCATTCTTTTTGTCCTTGGCCGCATTAGCAAAACATTCTTATCTTACTTTGGATCCAGACCTTCGAACCCTGGAACGATGGAAGCTATCGAAAAACGAACTTCACTCCATCTTCCCACCCATTCTGTCGATCAAGTGGTTATAATGACCCAACCCTGGAATTCATTAGATGCATAAAGTGGTAGAGATGTTTGACTGAGATGGATGTGTCACTTGAAGCTTAGAGTTCCATGTGTCAGTCAAGCGAGAGGGCTAGATCAAGGTAAGGTGGCAAAGCGGAAGGAAGAGGGGCAAGCGCGCTAGGCATTCCGATTGGTGCTTAGTTCACTCCGCCGCAAAGGAAAGACATTTGAACTAGACATATTTGATCTGTTCTTCCCTATTCACTAGGTTATAGGGCAAGACCCCTGATCTATTGGATGGGGGGCCCCTCTACAATAATGCTTTCTACTTAATGCTGCCAATCTCAAAATCTTGTAGTCCCTGAAATGTGATCTTGATGTTCGTCTTTCGAATGGTGTGGTGTAACCATAATGTGATGATAGATTTAAATACAGTTGGCATAAAGATAATAGGATAAGCCTGATTCTTCCTTTTGGGGAAAGCAGAGATGGAACGATTGATAGATGGATGGTGTCCGTAGGGGCTATTCTCTATGGGCCCTTCAAGTATGCTTCTTTTCCTTTAGAGGTCGGGGAACAGTAGTCAGGTAACAAAACATGGCACTAAATGCTTGGAAGCGATCATCCTGGAAAGGTTTGATTCAAAGAGATAGGTATCCGTTCCGAAGAGCTTGTTCCCCCTTCCCCTCATTAACTAGTTGATGCTCGTTGAGACCTATGATCTTGATCCTTTCCATAGGTA